GACGCGGGGCTCGAACTCACGGACCGCGAGATCGTGACCTGGCTGAAGTCGGACGCTTAACCGACTGCGCCACCCAGGCGCCCCTCAAACTATAATTCTTAATAATGAACACAGTAAATGAAAAGGTATCACACCCCCGCCCCCCAAAAAAACCACAGAGGCAAATAAATAGAGACTATTTCTCTTCCATCTGAAAGAAGAGTCACCACCCCAGCCCCTTCCCACGAAGGAAACTCAATCTCGTCAGCTAGCTGCTTGGGGGTGGGGGTTAGGAGAGTACTACATATCCTTTGAATTGATGAGAGCACCGGCTATAAAATTAAAAACAAAACAAAAAAAACACAACCAATCACCTCTCAAATAAATTTTTCCAAATAAAAGTTTCCAGTAAAACTTTAGCATCTAATTAACCAATTTCCTGTTTTATTTATTATCCCCTTCTAGTTTTCTTCTCCTGGTGGGAAAGAAAATTTATTAAGCATTAAAATGTATATATTTTGGGAAAGAAAGCTGGAAAATGATGTTTACCCTTAAGGAGCTAAGCAAATGCTCAAAAACATTCACCAGGAAATCTGGTTAATCCAAAATGGGTTACCAGTTTCTAATTGGATAGTTTGAGAACTGCCTATAAATAAATATCTTAAAATTTCTTACATATAGTAAACTAGAAGAGCTAACTTTTAGAAAGGAATAATCTAACACACAGGTTGTTAATACAGCGGAATGGACAGGAGGGCTCCCTCTCCTCTTTTTCTTGCACTCCTCTCTTTGGCCACATTCACTCGGCCAGCACTGTCACCAAAAGCAAGGCTCTGCTCGGCTATGTACCTGGGATTCATCCCCCAAAGTTCTGTCCAATTCCGAGGCTTTCAGGCTGAGTCAAACTGTTCCTTCAAGTCTAGAGGGAAACAGCGGTCTAGACCCACTGTATTTTCATTTAGAAGATTCCCACTGAATGTCAACTATATACCAAGACCTGCAAAATAAACTCTTTTAACCCTACCTATCCCTGTCTTGTGTATTTGGATTTCCTCAGGTGCAACTCCCTAGAAATACACACCTGCATTGGGGTAACAGAGGACATAGGCTGTTGTACATTTTCCAATTGTTTCAATAAAAGGTCTCATTTCAGCTGCACCCAGAGCACAGTTTAATCCAATGCTGTAAAAACAAAAAGATATTAGGAGCATCATCTTGCACACAAAATATCTTCATATAGAAAAAGTCACAATAGGGGCGCCTGGGTGGATCAGTCGGTTAAGCGTCCGACTTCGACTCAGGTCACGATCTCGCAGTCCGTGATTTCGAGCCCCGCGTCGGGCTCTGGGCTGATGGCTCGGAGCCTGGAGCCTGCTTCCGATTCTGTGTCTCCCTCTCTCTCTCTGCCCCTCCCCTGTTCATGCTCTGTCCCTCTCTGTCTCAAAAATAAATAAACGTTAAAAAAAAAAAAATTTTTTTTAAAAAAGAGTCACAATAAAGAAAGGACTATATCTAATACCAAGCAGATAATAAATCTCCACTTCAGCTTTAGCACCTCCATTCAGATATAAACAAAGCCATTTCACCAAAGTCCCCAGAAGCACTGAATGTTTCTGTCTACGTCTCCCACGTCAGGTGATGTTACAGCTAAAGGACCCTGCCTCAGATATCTCCTCGAATAAATTCACAGTTTGGTTAATGGTATCCTGTGAAGCAGAAATGCCTGCAAACTACCACTGCTAATAAACATCTGATCTGAAATCAACACATAAGAGAAAGAAAAAGGGCAATTATGGAGGTAGAAGGCACATTAATGACACATAGAAGCCACTGTGGGAGTATAGAAGACCAAGATTCATTAGTCTTTGTTCTATAACCGACTTGCAAGGTGACCTTGGACTTATAATTTGTCCTCTTATAAATTAAGCTAATTTCTTTACTATAAAATGAAGTTTCATTTTGCAAATGAAATTTACTGTGGACTCAAATAACACAGATCTAAGCAGAGCTGCTCTAACAAGTAATCCCACCAATCCCACTCTCAGCGGGGGGCCCTAAGGCCTTCAGGAATTCAGAAATTAACTATGAAGCTACTAGTCTAGGAGATCTTTTAGTTTTTCATATTTCACTTTTTTTTCTTTTGCTATGATTCCTAAGTGCAATGCGGTATATACTAGATTAGATCTTAAGGCAGAAAAGGGGGCATTAGTGGAAACACTTGAAAGCTAAATAAAGTCTGGAGTTTAGTTAATAGCAATACTATTCTTAGTTTTGACCAAAGGACCATCGCTATGTAAGATAGTAACATTCAGGAAAACTAGATGCAGAGTATATAGAAATTCTCTCTGCTATCTTTGCAACTTTTCTATAAATCTGAAATTACCACCCCCCGAAAAAAGTTTATTTAACAAACACACACGATACCCATTCATGATAAAAACTCTCAGGAAACTAAGAACAGAGGGAAACTTCCTCAACTTGATAAAGAACATTTACAAAAGAGCTATAGCTAACATCATACTTAATGATGTAAAACTAATATCCCCCTAATATCAGGAACAAAACAAAGGATGTCCATTTTCATCTCCTACTCAACATCATACTGCAAGTCGTAGCTAATGCAAGAAGAGAAGGAAATTAAATGTATACAGATTGGGAAGGAAGACTTTGTCTTTGTTCACAGATAAGACTGTCGACGTAGAAAATCCCAAAGAATCAACTAAAAACTCCTGGAATCAATATGTGATTATATATAGCAAGGTCACAAAATATAAGGTTAACATACAAAATTCAATTGTTTATCTATATACCAGCAATGAGCAACTGATATTAAAAATTAAAAACACAGGGCGCCTGGGTGGCTCAGTCGGTTGAGCGTCTGACTTCGGCTCAGGTCATGATCTCATAGTTGACGAGTTCAAGCCCCGCATCGGGCTCTGTGCTGACAGCTCAGAGCCCAGAGCCTGCTTCTGATTCTGTTTCCCTCTCTCTCTGCCTCTCCCCTGCTCATGCTCTGTCTCTCTGTCTCAAAAATAAAGATAAACATAAAAAAAAAAAAAAAGAAATTAAAACACAATACCATTTACGTCAGCACGAAAACAAATGAAATACCTGGGTGTAATTCTAACAAAATATGTACAAGATCTACATGAGGAAAACTACAAACCTTGGAATAAAGAGATCAAAGCAAATCTAAATAGGTGGAGAGATATTCCATGTACATGAATAGGAAGACTCAGTATTGTTAAAATACCAATTCATCCCTATTTATAATATATAATTTATATATTCATTCACACAATCCCAATGAAAATCCTAGCCAGTTATTTTACAAATCAACTGATTCTGAAGTTCACATGGACAGGTGAACAACCCAGAATAACTAGTGCAATACTGAATTAGAAGAACAAAATGGAAGGACTGACACTACCTGGCTTCAAGACTCACTACAAGCGAAGGTAATCAATGGTATCAGTGAAAGAAGAGACAAATAGATCAATGGAATGAAAAAGAGAGTCCAGAAAAAGAACCACACAAATACAGCCAAGTGATCTTTGATGAAGGAGCAAAGGCAAACCAATGGAGAAAGGACTTCCTTTTCAACAAATGGTCCTGGAAAGATGAGACATCCATATTTGAAAGAATTCAAGGACACAAAGATCTTACAACTTTCACCAAAATTAACTCGAAATGGATCACACTTAAATGTAAACTACAAAACTATTAAAGATATAAAGATATATATGAAGATAACACAGCCTGAAACTAATATTACACTGTATGTTAACTAACCGGAATTTAAATTAAAACTTGAAAGAAAGAAAAAAAGATAACACAGAAGACTTAGGTGGTCGTCAGTTTGGCAACACTGAAAGGAGGATCAATGAAAGAAAAAACTGACAAGCTAGACTTTACTACAATTAACAATTAACTTCTGCTAAGCAGAGGACACTATCATGGGAAGACAAGCCACAGACTGGGGGAAAGTATTTGCAAAACACATATCAGATAAAGGAATGGTAATTAAAAGATAACAAAATCTTGGGGCACCTGGGTGGCGCAGTCGGTTAAGCGTCCAACTTCAGCCAGGTCACGATCTCGCGGTCTGTGAGTTCGAGCCCCGCGTCAGGCTCTGGGCTGATGGCTCAGAGCCTGGAGCCTGTTTCCGATTCTGTGTCTCCCTCTCTCTCTGCCCCTCCCCCGTTCATGCTCTGTCTCTGTCTGTTCCAAAAATAAATAAACGTTGAAAAAAAAAATGCTTTAAAATATAACAAAATCTTAAAATTCAACAATAAATACATATGCACCCAACACAGAAGCAACAAAAAACATAAAACAATTATTGACAGACCTAAAGGGAGAAATTGACAGCAATACAACAATACAGGACTGTAACATACCACTTCCATCAATGATGATCATCCAGACAGGAAATCCATAAGGAAGCCTTAATATGATACATGAGACCAATAGACTTAACAATGATATATACAGAACATTCCACCCAAAAGCAGAAAACAGGTTCTTCTCAAGTATACATGGAACATCCTCTAGAACACATGTCATGCTACAAAATGAGCCTCAAAAAATTGAAGACTGAAATCGTGTCAAGCATCTTTTCCAACCACAATGATATAAAACTAGAAATCAATTACAGGAAGAAAACTGGAAAAACTACAAATATGTGAAGATTAAACATGTTACTGAACAACTACTGTGTCATAGAAGAAATCAAAGGAGAAATTAAAAAGCTACAGAGACAAATGAAAAGAGAAATATGACACACCAACATCTATGGGATGCAGCTAAAGCAGTTGTTAAGAGGAAAGTTCAGAGCAACAGAAGTCAACCTCAAAAAAACAAGAGAAATCTCAAATGAATAATTTAACTTTACACCAGAGGAACTAGAATAAGAAGAATAAACGAAGCCCAAAGTTAGCAAAAGAAAGGGAATAATAAAGTTCAGAGTAAAAATAAATGAAATAGAGGCTAAAAAGACAAATAGAAAAGATCAGTGGAACGAAGAGCTGGTTTTTTAAAAAGATAAATGCAATTGACAAAACTTTAAACTCCCTAAGAAAAAAGGAGAAGACTCAAATAAATCAGAAGTGAGAGCAGAGAAGTACAAGTGATAACAAAGAAATACAAAAAAGTCATAAGAGACTATTATGAACAATTATATGCCAGTAAATTGAACCTACAAGAAATGGATAAATTCCCAGAAACTTACAATCTTCCAAGACTGAATCACGAAGAAATAGAAGATCTCAACAGACCAATTATTGTCCTAGTTTGGAGACTGAAGCATAAAAGTCCAGGACCAGAAGGCCTAACTAGTAAATTCTACCAAAACATCCAAAGAAGATTTAATATCTATCCTTCTCAAACTCTTCCAAAAATTGAAGAGAAGGAAATGCTTCTAAACTTACTTTACGAGGTATTACCCTGATACCCAAAACCAGGCAAGGACACCCCCAAAAAAGAAAATGACAGGCCAATATCCCTGATGAACAAAGATGCAAAAATCCTTAACAGAATATTAGCAAACAGAATTCAGCACTACATTAAAAGGATCACACACCACGATCAAGTGGGATTTATCCCTGGGATGCAAGGATGGTCCAACATCTGCAAGTCAGCCAATGGAATATACCACATGCACAGAATGAAAAATAAAAATCCTATGATCTCAACAGATAAAGCAACTGACAAATTTCAACATCCACTGACGATAAAAACTCTCAACAAAGTGAGTACAGAGGGAACATACCTCAACATTACAAAAACCATATACAGCAAACCTATAGCTAACGGCATTCTCAACGGTGAAAAGCTAAAGCTTTTCCTGAAGATCAGGAACAAGACAAGGACGCCCACTCTCTCCACTTTTATTCAACACAGTATCAGAAATCTTAGCCACAGCAACTAGGCAAAAAGAAATAAAAAGCATCCAAATTGGAAAGAAGTAAAACTCACTATTTGCAGATAATAGGATACTATATGTAGAAAACTCTAAGGACTCCCCCCCCCCAAAAACCGCTAGAACTAATAAATTAAGTAAAGTTGCAGGATACAAAATTAATATAAAAAATGTTGCATTTCTATACACTAAAACTATTGGAAAGAGAAATTAAGAAAACCATCCCACACATTACATCAAAAAATAAAATACCTAGGAATAA